GTCGTGCAGTTCCTCTTCCGTGCTCTCGCCTCCTCGGCCGCTCTCATGATGGCCGCTGCCGCTGGCTCCTCACTCTCCTCCACGCCAAGGGCGGCCAGCGCAGACTCGATACCGTGCAGGCACTGCGCGCGCGTCGAAGGGTCCTCGCGGTCCGCACAGCGGTCACCCGCATCGTCGTCGCCCACAAGCGCGCGGTAGCGCTGCTCGCTCCTGCGCAGCGCCTCCATGTCGCTCGCCATCTTCCGGCACTGCTGCAGCAGAGGCTCGGCCTCGGCGTCTTCCAGTTTCCACTGCATCGCGCCGCCCATTACCGCCGAGACGGTGACCGAGTCCTCGCACAGGCGTTTCAGCGCCTCCACCGCGCGGTCCCCAGCGGCGCTCGCGTCCTCCTCGTCCTCAACGGCAAGCACGCTGCCGTCCAGCGCACGCTGCAGGCTGTCCGCGACCCGCGTCAGCTCGCTCAGCTTCGACTCCAGCGCCCGTCCGCGCGCTGCGCTCTCGTCCAGTCTGTCGTGCAGTTCCTCTTCACGTGCTCTCGCCTCCTCGGCCGCTCTCATGATGGCCGCTGCCGCTGGCTCCTCACTCTCCTCCACGCCAAGGGCGGCCAGCGCAGACTCGATACCGTGCAGGCACTGCGCGCGCGTCGAAGGGTCCTCGCGGTCCGCACAGCGGTCACCCGCATCGTCGTCGCCCACAAGCGCGCGGTAGCGCTGCTCGCTCCTGCGCAGCGCCTCCATGTCGCCCGCCATCTTCCGGCACTGCTGCAGCAGAGGCTCGGCCTCGGCGTCTTCCAGTTTCCACTGCATCGCGCCGCCCATTACCGCCGAGACGGTGACCGAGTCCTCGCACAGGCGTTTCAGCGCCTCCACCGCGCGGTCCCCAGCGGCGCTCGCGTCCTCCTCGTCCTCAACGGCAAGCACGCTGCCGTCCAGCGCACGCTGCAGGCTGTCCGCGACCCGCGTCAGCTCGCTCAGCTTCGACTCCAGCGCCCGTCCGCGCGCTGCGCTCTCGTCCAGTCTGTCGTGCAGTTCCTCTTCACGTGCTCTCGCCTCCTCGGCCGCTCTCATGATGGCCGCTGCCGCTGGCTCCTCACTCTCCTCCACGCCAAGGGCGGCCAGCGCAGACTCGATACCGTGCAGGCACTGCGCGCGCGTCGAAGGGTCCTCGCGGTCCGCACAGCGGTCACCCGCATCGTCGTCGCCCACAAGCGCGCGGTAGCGCTGCTCGCTCCTGCGCAGCGCCTCCATGTCGCTCGCCATCTTCCGGCACTGCAGCAGCAGAGGCTCGGCCTCGGCGTCTTCCAGTTTCCGCTGCATCGCGCCGCCCATTACCGCCGAGACGGTGACCGAGTCCTCGCACAGGCGTTTCAGCGCCTCCACCGCGCGGTCCCCAGCGGCGCTCGCGTCCTCCTCGTCCTCAACGGCAAGCACGCTGCCGTCCAGCGCACGCTGCAGGCTGTCCGCGACCCGCGTCAGCTCGCTCAGCTTCGACTCCAGCGCCCGTCCGCGCGCTGCGCTCTCGTCCAGTCTGTCGTGCAGTTCCTCTTCACGTGCTCTCGCCTCCTCGGCCGCTCTCATGATGGCCGCTGCCGCTGGCTCCTCACTCTCCTCCACGCCAAGGGCGGCCAGCGCAGACTCGATACCGTGCAGGCACTGCGCGCGCGTCAATTTATGATCCTTTTTTAAAGATTGTGTGTTGACTTTTTCTTCTCCTAAGATGGATTTGCATAGTTTTAACTCTTCTAAGATTTCTCTTATTTTTTTGGTTATTGCGTTGGGTGAGCATTCTATGAGTTCTGCAATTGCAGTCTCTGTGATGACAGACCATGTTTGTATGCGTATCGGATGCTGTTGGTAGTATTCGTGTGTGTGTTCTATACGTTCTTCAAGTTCTTCTTGTTGCACCGTGAGTTGCGTTGCCATTGTATCGACTAACTGGGCTGTTTGTTGGAGTAGGTGTTTTGTATGTTGAAGCTCTTTTTGTACTCCGTAAAGTGATGGTATTTGGTTAAGAAGTTCTTCTGTTGACAAGTGCATGTGTTTTTCGTTGTCTAGTAATTGCCGTAATGCATTCTGAAGTTGTTGAATCAACTGCTGTTGATGGATAATACCTTGCACAATATCACTTGGTTCTCCAGCAATTTTTCTAATGGTTTGGAGTTGTTTATGGCTACTAATTAATTGTAAGATATATTCTTCCACATTTTCATTTGTGGTTTCAAGAATTGTGTGTATGTTTTGCAAGTTTGCTTCATTGTCTTTAAGAGTTCGTAAGCGATTGCTCACTTCCGTGAAATCAGCGTTACCTTTCACGTTGCTCGGACATGCAACACCCGCATAATGCTCTATAATTTGTTCTAGTTGAACATGGTTGTCGTAAAGTGCCTGAAGAGAAGTGCATAGATCCGTCCTTTCATCGCTTTCTGCACCAATTGCCTGGCTACCAAAGACACGTGCAGCAGTTTGAAGAAGTGCTAGGTGGTTCTGCATTGCCCATATAACAAGTTCTAGGATGCAATTTGTATCACGTCCCGCACAAAGAGGCACAACACTCTTTAGTGCCCAAAAAAAGAACCGCTGAAGGCGTGTGGCGACGATGCTCCCCGGCAATTCTTCGCCATTGCATACAAGTTGTGTCGCCCATCGTCTAATGGAGTCATCCGTGTCTTCGGTATTTTTTTCTGGGGCAAAATCCGGTGTTTCCTTTGCATCGCCATAGAGTGCCTGCCGTGGCGATACCAACGTTGCCTTCTCATCCGGTAACACAACCGCCGTTCTTGTCATCGAACTTTGTAGTGCGGTTAATTTTGTCTGTAATACTGAAAGATCATTCACCCATCCATCCTTTGCCCGAGAAAAGTTTTGTTCTAACATGCCAATTTCCATGTCACGGTCACGTCTCACATACTCAAGTTCTTCCATAATTTTTTCTAAAGCTTCTTGTTTGGTTTTTGCAGCTCGTCGCTCCTCCTCCAATGCCTTGACGACCTCAAAGTGTTCCGATGTTATGGCAATTTTGTCTCCACCCACATTGCTTCCGCGCATTGCAGAAAGAATATGATCTCGAATCGATGCGTATTCCTCGTAGCATACCTGAAAGAGTTCTACTGCGGTCTCTGTGAAACAAAGCAGTGCCTCTTTCGCTACACGCTCTATAGTTTTACCTTGACGCACGTGGTGTATTGCAGCCTGTGGAGTAGAGGAGCTATCATCTAAAGCACGACGTGCAGCGCGAAGTTCGGCTAACATGTCTTCTGCATCTTCTTTCTGTGACACATTTTCCTCCCCTTGACGTAACGTCTCGTACACATGTCGAATTTTATCGGGCAACGTCATGTCATCACTATCATCAACCTCCCTTATCACGCTCTTTTCTATAGGGCCCTTTGTGGACTCATAATGACTAACAATCGCCAAACATGTCTTTTCCAAGCCATCTACATGACATGCATTTGTCACCTTCTGTGGAACAGGTAGAACTGTAAATGGTAACTTTGACTTTGACAAAATATCTTCGATGTGTTGTACACGTCGTCTTTGCTGTTCTTCTACTCGGTGGTTGTCTCCATCATATACGCGAGGGCTACTATTGGGAACATGTCTCTCGTAAACATCGTTCCATAACTCAACTAAACGTGCTGATTCCTTTCCGCTGTGTGAAATGTCTGAACCAACTGGGTCTCTTTCTACATGCTTCTTCATTTTTCCAAGCAGCGCATCTACACGTGTTTTCCACGTGTTTGCATCCACGTGATCCACACCAAAAGATCCGCTCGTTCCGCTGCTTGTTGGAGAATCTACCGCCTGTGATGTCTCGTTAAGAAGCTGGAGCGCCCTGTGCTTCCACAGCCGCAAGGCATTCATCAATTCCGCCACCCTATCCTTCTCTTCTTCCGTTGTCGTCTCGTCGTGATCATACTCTGCAGCGGCGGTGGCCTTTTTCCGTGACCGCCCCTGCAGAAGCTCGGCAGTCGGAGGCTCCCGTGTGCACTTGTAGGACTCAACAAACTGCTGCCAAATCTGAAAGTCTTGCGCATTTTCGGTGCACAACACAACACGCTCGCGCTTCGCCAAATTTTCACTTTCTTCCACAGTGTAGTCACGAATAAACTCCAACACCATGTAGTAATACTGCTGCGTCTGAGGCGCAGCCACACCGTGTCCCCTGCGCGGGGGAGGGTGAGGAGGTGACACGCCGTAGTGCCCACCGGACACCGGCGGTTTTGGGTTGTGCGTGAACCACGCCACCCGTTTCATGGATCGAAACGCCACTTCCTTTATCAAACGTGACTGCGAGCTACGTGTTGAGTACACGTAGAAGCGATCTTCTTCAATGCAGACGTAATTTTTGGAGCCCCGCCCCGCGCCAACCTTATAGGGCTTCTCGCTATCCGCGCACATCCATAATTCCCCCTTAATAGCCAACAATTCATCCTCCGCCGATTCGTACATTTCGTTTTATTTTGTTGTTGTTTTCCCCAGTCTTTCCTTCGTTTTTTTTGTCGCCTTTTTTTATTTTGTTTTTCTTCCTTCTACAGTCACTGCCGCCGCCGCTCTTTTTCCTTTCTTTTCTTTGCTTGCTTTTCCACACCGAAATAAAAAGCAATTTAGGATACTCTTGCAAATAAAAATTTGACCCGACAAATTGACGGAAGTCCCAAAAGACAAGCCAATTAAAAAAAAAAAAAAAATACCTTTTTTTTTTTTTCTTTTCCTTTTTGAATCGGCTGCGCGTTACGTAAGTGGATGGGTAGAAGAAACGTATTCCCCCCGCCCCTCCCTCTTGTGTGTATGTATGTGTATATGTAGATGTGTGTATGGGAACTGATATATATATATATATGTGAGTGTGTGAGTGTAAATGTGTCAGGGGATTCAATGTGGATGAGTGAAGAAGTAATTAAGCCAATGTGTGTGCGTGCGTATGCGCCGTATTCTTACTGTTTGTGTATGAGAGTTGTTGCGACGGTAAACAATAAATAAATAAATAACTAATAAATAATATATATATTTATTTTTTTTTTTTTCCTTTTTTCCCTTCTCCTTTTTGTTTGCCTCTCCTCCAATTCACCGTGACGATGCGTACTGTTATGTGTGGATGTAGCGGCGTGTCTTCTTTTGTTTGTTGAGCCCTCCTTTTTTTTTTTTTTTCTCTCTCTCTCTCTCCCTTTCTCCTACGGACGTAAACTGTCTTTTTTTTAAAGAAGAAAAAAAATTTTTTTTTTTTTCCTCCAGTTGTCGCCCTTTTTGATGTCTTCTTTTTTTTTTTCTTTTTTTCCCCAAATTCCTCTCGTCCACTCCTTTTTTTTTTATTTTTTATTTCTTCTCGTACTTTTTGTGCTTCTTTTTTTTTTTTTTTTCCCTCCGACCCTCGTGGCTGGTCGTGTGCCTCCGACTTATTTATTTTTTTTTTGTTTTGTTTTGTTTTCTGTCGCGTTCTTTTATTTTCCCGCAGCGGCCAAAAGACATGAAAAAAAAAAAAGAAAAGAAAAGAGGAGAGAGACGCGAAGAATATCGTCAGAAATCACCACCAAAATAAAAATAATAAAATTTAAAACCCAAAAAAAAAAAAAAAAAGAGGAACAAAAACACTTCATTTCTCCTTCTTTCCTTCCCTCCCCTGCTGCTTTTTTATTTCGTTTTTGTTTTCAGTTTCTTTTTTTATATAAATAAATAAATAAATAAATAAATATTTCTTTCCCACGCCCCCGTCCCTTCGTTGTTTTGGCCCAAAAAGCCTCTCACAAGAGGTAGAAAAGGAGACACGCCTGGAAGTTGTTTATATTTCATCCGCTGACATTTTCTCCTCGTGCTCGCCTCCTCGCAGCTCCTTCATTGACGGCTCCGGCCGTGGCGAAGGGCGTGATGCGTCCGCCTCCGTGCTAACGGCCCCCGCAGTGTCTCGCGGGGGTGTCACCTGCAAAACATCCGCGGTGGATGTCCCTTCGTCCTGCTTCAGTCCATCCGTTCCCGTAGGCGTAGCGCTGCAATGAGCGCACACGCCCATCGTCTTTTCTCCTGTTACGGATATCGTGACGGGATCGACGTGGCAACTCACACGTTTAGTAGAGTCGCATTTCACCGTCGTCGCGGCGGCGACGGCCACATCCGCCCCAGATGTCACCGAGGAGGCAGGTAATGATGATGATGAGGATGATCGCTGGGTGTTCTCACCCCATTCCTCTTCCTCGTCCTTTTCACTACAAGATTCCGCAGAAGACGCAGATTGCAACGAGTCACGACTACTCTCCCCATCAGCGGGTGAACTCGTTTCGCTGTAGCTGCTGTACAGTGTCGAGGAGGCATCACTGTCAAAGTCGCGGGATGAACCATCATCATCGTCGTCGTCGTACCCAGCAGCTTGGGGTCCACGCAGCATTGGGTCCGTTGGAACCTCCGACCACGGCGGCAGCTTGCGGTAACCGAAGAGGGAGTTACCGAAGAGGTGCGACATGGTGCCAAGCTGATAGTGCGTGCGCTCCACGTACGGGTCATTCGACTGCGGCAACGGCTTCTCACTCAGCAAGACGTGCTTCAGCGCCGAAAATGTGTCACTCTGACGATTCACAGCGCATTGAATGAAACGACCGCAGTCCCGCACCTCGTAATCCTCATCAAACCGGGCAAGCTCCAATACATAAAAGAAAAGTTTGCAAAAGCGATCGGCCATCGAACTGCTACCGTCTAGAAAAAGCCAAATCTTACAGCCAAGCATTAGGACCTGCTTCTTCACATCTAAACCCTCCTGTGAAAACCTCTTCGCAAACACTCGAAAGCACTCCGGTGCTGCGGTAGCAATGGCCACATGACGCTGAATGTTCTCCCCCACAAGCCAAAGAATACTGGCCTTTGCGGATTCCACCGTAATCTCGTCCTTCACCACCTGCTGCAGCAACCGATACACCAATTGACTTGTGCGGGTCTTGTCACCTCCCTGAATGACAAGCAGACGTAAAACCGAGATGCACTCTGACACCACCTCTGCATTATGGTGGGAAATCAGAGGAACCAACAACCGCATCACTTGTGGGGCGCATTTCGGCAACCGTCCCGCAATTAGTCCAAGCCCTCGTACCGCATCAACAACGTTGTCCAGATGGAAACTGCGAACATACACGCGGAACTCCCGAAAAAGTTCCATGAAATTATCTTTGGTGGCCAGTTTGGAAATGATGCGCAGTTTCAGCTCCCGCACATCACTCACATCGTGTGGAAGAAGATAAAACTCTTTAATGTACGGAACAAATGGCTCTGGACGTGACAGCACAACAGTATATATGGCACTAAGAACGATGGCATGTTGCTCTTCAGGACCCCCAAGTAAACGTAGCAGCGGTCGAACACACACATCCAATTCAACACTAGGGGCGCAATGATAAAACAATGAGGTGGCCGCCACTACAACAGCGCTGTTGAGACTCATAAAAAGTGGCTTTACAGAATCAATAAGAAGGCGATGATCGGCGTCCAAAAGAAAATCGATACTTTTTTGAGAGCCGTGGCCGTTTCCCCGGGAAATCGCATCGGACGAAGACTCCGTACAAGACGTTAAGGACAAGGAGGAAGAAGACGAAGAAGAAGAGGATGTTGTTGAGGACCTCTTCGTATCGACCGTTTGTTTTTTAAGGCTATCCTTCTCCTTTTCTTTGCGTGTATGCTTCGTTAAACACGGCTTGGAAGAAATGTTAGGGTCCATAAACTGTGTTCGTGCATAACGCAGAAGTACATGAAGAAGCACCACCTGCCCCCACTCGTCACAGTCCAAAAGTGAGCGGCAGAAATCACGATAAACGGCATGAATAAGGCTCATCTTGTCCGGGCATATCTCAATAAAAGAGAGCGCAGCTGCCGATGTAACTTCTGGACACTTGTCGGCCAAAAGTTGCCCCAGAAGTTTATGCACCGTTTCAATATCTTCATCATTGGTACTAATGGCGTGCATTTGAGCAAGAGAAATAGCAGCCGTCTTTCGCACTAATGGCTCCGAGTCCGAGGCGGATTTCGTTACCGCAAGCAACACCAGTGGCTGGATGGCAGGAATGCGTATTGTGCTAAGCATCCGCAGAGCGAGGGAGCGTACATGCATGCTTGGGTCCATCAAATCCTTTTGAAAGGCAGAGATGGAGAGAAGTGCCTCATTGGGGCGGTCCTCTGCATAGTGTGTGATGTATAAATAAATAAGCTTCCGTAATTCAATCGACGAGGTGTGGATGTTCTTCACTACATCGGCAAAAAGATTAGACATGTCATTCCCTTTGCACATCTGCGCAATGATACGTTTCATCGCGCTTCGCTTCTCTTGAAGTGAGTCGGAATCGAGGTGATGACGCAGATCCTCCAGCTTCGGCTGCACCGAGAAGAACTGTGCATCCCCTGAGATGAGTGAGCGGGCCCGTGACACAATGTTGCCACCACCACCCGTAATAAACTCCTTAGCCCGCTCAGACGCCAATGTAGCCTTCTCTGCAATTATAGCACGACTCATCGTCTCTTTCCTTTACAAGTACTCTTTTTTTTTTTTTTTTTTTTTTTTTTTTTTTTTGTGTGTGTGTGTGTTTGTTTTCCTTTGTTTTACATATTGGAGGTATATTTGGCAGGGACATTCATAAACGACGCCACAACAACCACGCATAAATGAAAAAAAAAAAAAGAAGAGAAGCAAAGATGGTAAAATATTTAACGTCATCCCTACCACAAGAAGTATAAAAGAAAATATACTTTTATGTTGTTGTTTTTTCTCGTTTGTTTGCCTCTCTCTCTCGATATATATATATATATATTTATATCCCTCTGTTTTTGTCTCTTCATGACAGGAGTAAGTGAGATATGTGCTTATGTGTCTCTGGATGGATTTTAGGAAATAACATCGGTAATTTCAATTGCCGGGTTATCTTCCTTTTGCTTTTCCACAACTTTTGGCAAGTGCGGCCTCTTCCCCTTCTCCCCCATTGGCGTTTTTGGCACCGTTACGGCGGCTTCTGTCCTTATGGTCATTTCTTCGTCCCTTAAGCGCTTTGCGAAGAATGCATGCAGGCTAACGGGAGGTCGGTACTGGCAGCGGTGCCGCTCCTCTAGTTTGCCTGGCCGTGGGGCAAGCGATATGCCGTCAAAATGGGCACACACCCCGCTGTGGTCACTGTACTGCGGCGGAGTAACGAACAGACCCGTCGACGGCAGGCCACGGAACTGCACGTCTCTCGCCTCCGTGCTCAACGGCGGCAGGCCCGAGCCGTCAAACGGAGCTGCCGGGTACATTCCGTCTGCCATCGCGCGGCGCGCACCAACAAGCGCGGATCGACCATCAAACTCATCAAAAAAAGCGGATGACGCCTCCTTCTTTGCCGCAAACAACGAATTCGCTTCACCCATCATGGGGGAGAAAACCCCGACGTTGTTTTCTGTCATACCACACGGAACCAAGGCCGGGAGAAGCATCTCATCAATCAAGATGTAGTCAATACGCGTCCCCTCGTTTCGCTGCCGCCTATTCCTGGATTGATCCCAGCATGTATACGGGCACACAACCCTCATCGACGCTTCGCCTCCCTCTTGTCGTTGCGCCTTATTCTCCGCCGAGGAAGACGTCACGAGAAGGGTGTCGCACAAGTGCAGTTCGTCAAGAAGCCTTTTCATAAACTGCACACCCACGTCTTCATGTGGGGGTAAACCACAGTACTGTGTCAGGGCAAAAAGCTCACGGTTGTGCGTCGATGGTTGACGACGCATGAAAGACTCCACAGGGACATCTTGAAGGCCAGCCCTACAAAGTTCCTCCAACGTCGCTAGCGGGTCTGAACCACCATTCCGTCTACGCTGCTCTCGACGCTCTCGTATCAGCTGCTTAAGCAGGGTGAGACTTTTATGGGCTCCCGTATTTCCATTTTTACCGTCCTCCGTGTCGTTCCGCGTTTCATCCAAAACGGCACTGTCAACGCTGATACTTTTGTTAGAATCAACAACGTCCTCATTGTCATCACCGGCAAGAAGCATACAAGAGACCTGCTCCGTTATGATTCCCTGCAGCCGTTGCAAGGTAGGCATGGGAAGCCACGGAAACTGCTGCGCCCATGTTTTCTCTGCTTCTTCTCCCCCCGCTTGACACACGTGGACAAGGTTGCGCAGCGCGGGTAAACTCAGTCGCCGCAAAGACCAGCACGCGTCCTCCGCTCGATATGTCTGATTCAAATCCCCTAGCAAAATGACAGGTTTACCCGTTTGCTTTTTCAGCCGAGTTAAAAGATTTTTTAGACTGGACAAAAAACGCATTTTAAACGCCATGCGTTGGCCATGACGGGCGTTCACGACGTACGTGTTCACCACCACAAAGGCACTATGGCAGGTGACAATCACACGGCCTTCATCATTCAAATCCTCTTCACTAAACGGACGGGAGTCACACCACCATGTGAGATCCTTCCGGACAAATGACACCACCCCATTGAATCCACGGTGTGCTTTACCACTGAAGGACCAAAACGACTCCCATCCATCGATGGCCAACGTCCTTCCGCCGTCACTGGCGCCCATACCACAAGGATCCGCCTCTAATTTTGCCCACGACCCCTTCACTTCCTGTAGGCAAACAATGTCCGCTTGAGTCCGCTGCAGAAAAGATGCAATGCTTCCAAAGTCCTCTCGTATCATTCGGGACGTCGAGGACCACCCTGCCACATTCCAACTAATGATAAACATTGACCTCCGGAGAATGAAGAGTGTCCAGTGGGTTCAGCAACCCCCGTTTGTTTGCTTGATTTTCTCCTCCTCGTACCCCGCCTCTCTCAAAACTCTCTCTATCTACCCTTTTTATTGTTTACTGCGTCCGTGTGTGTGTGTGTGTGTGTGTGTGTGTGTGTGTGTGTGTAAATTTTCAACCCAACGCATGTTCCCCGGCAGAAACAAAAAAAAAAAAAAATTCACAAAACGTGTGCAGAGGCGTGTCTCATGAATGGATGTCTACTCCCGGCCATTAGAGGGAGTAAGGGAGTCAACCCATAAAAGCAAAGGAAAGAAAAAAAAAAAAACCTCAAAAGTCTTTAGCAACATAAAAATAAAATTGCTGTCGTTTTTTTCAACTTCTTCTCATTTTTTGTTTTCAGACGTCTGCGGGATGAAAACAACCGTCACGCCCCTTTTGAAGAAAAGACAGACAGACACACATGCAGACGTAAAAAAAGAGGGAATAAAAACTACGATGGAACAAAAAAATAAAATAAAATAAAATACAAAAATAACTCATCAAAATTGCCTCTTCCACCCACTTCGCATTCGGTCAAATACACTGGGTGTACCGCGGAGCCCTTTACTGGACTCCAGCAGCACCGTGTATTCCTTCGTGATGCTCAGCAGCTGGGACCGGCTCGATGCGGGAAGGGACTTTAAAGAGACAAGAAGCCGAATGCTGGGGATGAGGTACTTGTTCACAAGCTGTGGTGTCACAACGGCGCATCGGGGTATCGCTGCCAAGACGGCGAGCACCGATTCTAACGCATCCTCGATCAGCTTATTCTCTTCCGTAGGGGGCGGTTGACTGCCTCTTCTTCCCAATGCCGTTACTGTTGCCGCTTTTCCCTCCATCCGACGTATTGTGTCTGTCAGTTGGCCAATCATAGTGACCAGCTGGGGATACAGGAATGACTCGCGTGGCTCTGCCGGCATCACGTGCATGAGTGAACACCAGTGCCGCAGGAATGCCACGCCCAATCGTGACGCACATCGCTCCGTCTCGACCGTCGTGAACACCGCAGTCATCACCTTCTCGTGCGCAGCAGGGGTGCTGAGGCACTTGACCATTGATAGCGCCGCCTTCACGGCCGCCTCCTTCACCGCATAGACGGTATCACTCATGAGAAGCAACAAAGGGGGCCAAATACTCGTTTCCCGCGCCCGATCGTTCTTCGGTAAACCGCTCATACGCTCCACGAGGGCAATGGCCAGCATCCGTTGCCTCTCCTCATGTGACTTGGCAAAAGACCACAGCACGGAGGAAACCACCGCCGCATTGCCGCCTTCGTCATCCACATGCGTTGCAAACCAAAGGAGGCAATTCGCACAAGCATCGAGCCTCGCACTCGCCTCGGATCGCTTCGCCCCATCACATTTTGCCTCCTCTGCATGTATAAATTCACCCGCCTCTCCCCTTTTGCCCCGCGTCTGTTCATGCGCTTCGTGTCGTCCATCCTCCGTCGCCTCCAACAGCAACAACTCGCGCAACCATATGGAGGCGTCCTTCATGATGCTGCTGAACTCGGCCTGTGGAGTTTTCTCAGCGGTCTCCTTCCCGCCAGAGACCGACGTCAAAAAGGCAAAAAGAAAGCACAACTGCCGTTCACGCCACCCGGCGCTGCGCCTAACATCACTATCACCATGGTCACGAACGCGCCTCTCTGCGATAAACATCTCAAGTGAATTTCGCACCCGCACCCATTGATCCATACGAAGGGCAGTAACCAACAACGCTAATGCCGATGCCACGGCGCAAATGGAGGCCTGCAGTGTGTCTTGTTCTTGGCTTACAAGCACCATGGCGTACGCGGAAGGCATTACCACGTGGAGATAGGCATTCAACACAAACGTCTCCACCCCACCATTTCCACCTGCAGTACCCTTCAGAGCATTTCCAATGGCATCTTCGATAAGTCTGGCCAATATTAATGTGTTCCTCGCCACATTTTCTTCCACAACATCAACATTTGTTGACACCCTGGCATTACTGCCTTTTCTTATCGGTGTCTCATCACAATCCATCACGGCAGACTCCCTTTCAAGAAATGATAAGAATAATGGTAAAATACGCGTAAGCACCACAGGGCATGGCGTACACGCTGGAAGTAGAAGATGTTTTCGCAAACTCTGAAGAGCAAACCGTCGCACTGTACCACTGGAATCATACAAACCAAGACGTAAAATAAGTTCCGCATAACATAAAAGAGAATCAGTCGCAATGTCATGACTCGTGTTTTTCTCCTCCATATCACTAGAACGTATAGGCCAAAGTTCGGCAATAGACCGCACCACATGCCAACGCACTGTACGCGCCTCATCCTCACTCAGTGGTCGCAATAAACCTTGGCAAATGGACTTACGCAATGCATGATACCCAACCCCCAAGAGAGGGGCTAGACAAATCACACAATCCAGAGCCAAAATGTGCTTCTCCGTTGACCTTGCATTTGCAAGATTATACAACTCTGGCACAATGTCGTACTCCAAGACAGATGATGGAACGTTTCGCAATGTCACTGCCCATGCTTCTGCAACCGCCGCCCGGTGCTCTCGATTCGGACGCGTGTAAAGTGTAAGAAGCTGAAGACGAGAAGCGGCTTTGTTCGCCTTTGTGCTATGTAGGGTTGCTGTAAGGCCAATGATGGGAATGAGGACGTCCTTCCGCATGGGATCCACGGCACTCACAAGCGTCGGCAGTCCTTTTGAAAGTACCGCAATCGTCTGTTCTAACTTTTCCTCTAAATGCTGGAGTTGTGGGTGAAAAGGAGCCCCCATGCCATCACCACCACCACTACCACCGTGACTACTAATAACACTAATTCCATGTCTCGGAGTCTCAGTGAGAAGAGTCTGTTTTTCCTCCCCAACGGTGGTTGCCACGGGAGCAAGAGGAGATAGAAGCAAATGTAAATCGCCCTCATCGTTCCCCACAGACGCGGTGTCCAAGGATGAAAGCTGCTTCCTCGCCTTCTTGACAGTCCTCCAGAGAGCAGCCTTGCCCCTTTGCTTTCCGTATGCCACAAGCATATCTGCCACCGCCCCCTCAAGAGCCGCACCTGTATCGTCCTCGGCGCCTCCAGGCAGATTATCGAATGAAGTGCACGCAGCAGCCAATTCAAGGAATCGGGCGTGCAATTCATTGTGAACGGTCTTCCATTCGTGGTAAAGCTCCACCAGCGTCGTGGGGCACCGATTTTCGCAGAGCCATATGGCGACTTGCTCGACTGCATTGGCCTGCATGACTCGCAAAGCAAACTAAAACGGAAAAGGGAAAAGGGTAATAATAATAATAAATATTAATAATAATATCAGACCAAAACACCGCCGCCAATAAATAGAAATCAAAATTTGGCGGAAAGCCAAGAGAAATGGCACCAGGGATGATAATTCCAAGGCAATGAGGTCTGGCGGAGAAGGAGATGGTCTCTCAAAGGTCGTGCCAGCCAGGATGATCTCAAGAATACACGTCTATCCACAAAAAGAAAAAAACAAACACACAAAAAAAGAAAAAACAGACCGTACATACAGGCCTTTCCTTCTCCGGTGATCCTGTTTCCTTCCCAACGTACGTGTGCCTCCCCTGATGCCCACAGAAACCTCCACAAACAAACACACTCACACACTCACACACACACACACAAAAAAAAAAAAAACAAGAGGGACAGAAAGACAAGAACCATGTAGGAATAATATTTTAGCGCAAAACATTTCAACGAACCACCAAAAGAAGGCTCAGTAACTTCTTTTTCACTTTCCTCATGTGTGCTCCTTCGCAAATAGAGGAAATAATCACCTTGCCTGAGGTACATAGCCTTCATCCAGAGACATGCACACATGCATATATTGTATTGTATATATCCATGTATGTATGTTCGTCTGATAACTCTTACTTACATTTGAGCTCCTCCACTCGAGCCTCACAACCGTCAATTATTGACGTCCTCACAGAAAAAAGAAAAAAAAAAAAAAACAGAGAAATTAAAAAAAGAAAAAAAAGTATTTCTTCACCGCGGTGACTGATCAAAAAATATCATGCGGACATGACACCCTCGCCCTTAGAAAGTTTCTCACATGCCGCCAGCACCTCCTCCTCGCTACGGTACACTGTCTTCGGTTGTCGGTCTAGTACAAAGCGTTCAAATAACGCAATGTGTTTCTTGCGATTATTTTCCATACCCTCATTGTAGAGGCGTGCCACAACTGTCGCCTGCTCCTTCTTTCCAAGTGTCCTGCGCGTACTAGCCAGATGTGACAACTCACGTTCATACAGCCCCTGTAAATTCTGTTGTTTCCGCTGAACAGACTCGTCGTACAGACGATGCACCAACGATTCCTTCTCACCGTCATCCAGTTTCTTCTTACTAGCGTGAAACTTACTTATTTCCGCATTGACGCTCTCTTCAATCTCGCGCAGACGTTGTTGTCGATGGGCAAGAGAATCGTCGTATAGGTGCTTAATGCTGTGCTCCACCTCCTCCTTGGTACGTGTCTTTTGCTGCACCAACGGAGGAAGTTTCACTTCTGGACGACGACTTGTGCTAAGACGGACTGCACTTCGCTCCATCTCTTCTTTTGTTAGGACGCGTGTCCTCGGAGCGTCCGTCATTGCCTTCTCCCTCACAGTAACACAGAGGCACGAGTCACTACCCCCCTAAACCCCTTCTAGCTCCTTTATATATATACATACATACATACATGGATGTGTTTACAAATACAGGCGACATCCAAAACAACAACAAAATAATAATAATAATAATAATAACGGAAGAAAAATACATCACACACACACGCACGGAGAGAGAAAGAGAGACTCACAGAAAAGGTACAATTCATAAAATAAATTAAAAAATAAAATAAAAATGAAAAAAAAAAGAAAAAAACAACGCAGAAATGATGCACATAAACTCAATGCGCGTTCATTCACGGATTCACATTTTTCCACCTCCAAAATCTCGTTTTCCCCCTCTTTCCCTCTCAAAAGCGAACCATGAATGTGACGGCACCTGTTTTTTTTTTTTTTTTCTTGTGTGGTGTATCTATTGTCTTCCCGTCAATGGGAACTGCAGTATTTCACATGAAAAGAGAATAAGACATGAAGACAAGAAAAAAAAAAAAAAGAAAAAACCCGTGGATGTATTCAATCCATGCCCGCAACTGTGTGTTTCCCATTCTGCGTGTATGTATGTATGTATATTACATTGTCGATGGTGAGATGTGAGGTCAAATAGCTGGTGGAACGCACAACTGCCTCCGCTCCCTCCTCTCTTGTTGTATAGAAATAACCACGCAAATACAGAAAAGCATGGGTGTATATATTTAAATAAGAGAGAAGCAAAAGGAAAAAAAGTTTTGAAAAAAGAGAAAAATATATAATAATAATAATAATAATAATAATAATAATGAGTGCAAAAGTCCGGGCATGCATTTAAACAAAGACACCACAGAAACTCCCCCCCCTTCCCTCCCAATTATTCCTACACTCACCTCACCAAAGACAGAGACACACACACAGACACGCCCTCTCTCTCCGTGAACCATCGTCGTCAGTTGCTGTCGTCGTCTTTGCACCGGTACACAGACTGACGACGCAGTTCTCTCACGGTCAAGGGAGTCCATTCAAAGACGGCATGCCTGGCAAGTTCCTCGGATTTTGGCGTCGCGACACCATACATGGGCGCATAAAGCTCAAATAACTCCTCCAGTGCGGCCTCCGCCGCTTGCGGGGAGTCCACGCAAAGATTGGCTCCCCATTCAACCGCCGTGCGGGCCAACGTGCCAATCGTATCAATGTATTTACTATAAATGCGGTCCAAAGGCCAGTAGCGTCCAAGTCCATCGTCCGTGATGCAGGAGTCCACAACCGTCTCGCCAATGAGACCGCGTTGCGACAATCTCTCCGTCGTTGGCTGCTTCCCCTGTCCAAGGTCGATAAAGCGGATAAAGCGCAGCGGTCTCAGCTCACTTGAATCCGAGATGCCTGCAGGAAATCGTAGATATCGTGGGGAAGCGTCTTTTGGTGTCTGAAACATCATGATGATGCCGTCATACGATGGACGACCGGGTGTCCCCCCCTCATCACGGGAAACAAAAGCGTAGCCGACATTATCACCCCGAAGCTGGCCGTGCAGCATAAAGTCTAAAATAATATAATCAAACAACGCACGCGCGACAAGTTGGGTATACAAAAATTGAAAGACTTCCCCATCACACAGTGGGGTGTTGACAATGGTGTCATAGCAGGGGTCAAATGCATCTTCCTCCTCCGTCACAAACCTGCCAATAACACCATCCATGAGTTGCGTCACGACGTAACAAAGTTTTGTGCAGGAATTGACATGCGCCCCACGGCTGCATGTAAGCACATCCTCCTCTGGCATCCCTTTGGGAGGGGTGTCACTCACTACAAACTCGTAGATATGAGTCCCTCCCAAAATACCGCATCTCTCCATTTGATTAAAGAGTACAAAAAATGCCACATTAGTCAGAGATTCTTTTACATACGTCTCGTGATCCATGCCGTTTGGAAGAATGAGACATTTTACAGCAACAGGAAGGGACTGTGGACCAAGCCTTCCCTCGTATACCAAACTACTACCACCACTCCCGAGAAACCGTATAATCTCAATTGCATCTGTGTTTCCATCAAACAATGCAATAGAACCTTCTTGAAGGTATTGTCGCCAAAGCTGTACGATACCATCTTCTTTGTTTCCTGTATTCACTTGTGTTTTCTCAGCGGGTAAGGGTAAAATCCCCCGTGGAACAGCACCGTCAAAATTCTTTAGCAAATAAAAAAATTTAGACAGCTCTACGTTGTTCTCATGCAACCGTGTCAGAGAAGCCATTCCACACCGATATGTGCGTGGTGCAACGGAGGCCTGCCATATAAATTGTTGTTTGATGCCATAGGGATCCTCAAAAAATTTAAATAATTCTTCTAACGCAATAAAGGCCTCCTGTGGAGATTGGACAACACGATGCACTGCCCATTTCATGACCACTTCTCGTCCCAATTGACCTTGACACGGTAACAGTGGCGTGGCGCCAAAAAGCCGTTGCCGTGTCGTATCCAAAATTGTTTGCGGAGATGCATAGTGTGGAATAATGACTTCCTCGAGAGACACCAGGTGAAGTACTCGTGATCGTGGCGGAAAAAGGAGCCAGTGGTCAGGCAAAGTTGGGTGTTCAAATGCTAACGGTTGCACGCCACTGTTGTCCGCCCCCACAAGATCAGAACGCAGGGGATTTCCCTCCGCCTCAGCCATCATACCAGGGAAACGTATATCATACACAGCACGAAAAACAAGCTGAAGGTAAAAAAGCTGAAACACTTCCGCATCTGTAAATGGTTGGGTAGACAAAGATGGCAACTCCCCTTTTGCTCCGCACGGACGGTGCAGAACGCCCTTTGTGGAAAGTGGAAGATGTAATGCCACTGGCACTTTTCTTTCCTCTTCTTCTTCTTCTTTGATATCACGAGAATGATGGAGATGTTTGTAGCATGGCTGCAACAGTTCACGTGTGACGTCATTTTTCATGAGGTCAAGTCTCAGATGCATCTGGTGACGCAACAACCTTCGCCAATTTATCCATTGAATCGACAGAAATGGTAATGCCCGATCACAATACCCGGCATCGGCCAGCGCAATGTAAAGTGCCACCGCCACTGTGTATTGTCTCCACCGGGGCACGGCAACGCCGGCACCGTCACTCGTACCCGTATGCCACAAATGGGAACTGCTAAAAAGGGCAGGGCGTTCCAGTAACGGTTTCATGTAAAAATATTTCCTGTCATTGACTCTAGAGCGATCCAGATAAGGGGCAATGGGAGACGCCTCCACACTGGCATCGCCATGAACAACCAACATTCTCCCCTCGACATCATGCAGGCGCACCGCATATTTTGCAGGAACAACAACTTCGTCCAGAAGCGATACAAAATCCCCCGCTGCCATCACATTTTCTTCAGAAACAGAGACACCAAGTTCATGTAGTGTGCGCCGTGAGCAAAAAACGGCGGAAGCGGTCTTGGATGCAACACCGCCAGTCACAAAATGTCTTCGTTGCAACGCCGTTCGCCTGCCAATTGGGGAGAAAAATAACGCACTCGAGGGTTGCCTCGGAGATCGTTCGACATTTCCCGGATGCAAGCAGGAGACGCCACATGACAGCCCGCACGATAATTCCGCATCCAATTCATGTTCACTCTCTCCAGCGGCATTGGTGGACCGCCATGGCGCAAAGCGTCGTGTGGCTGCGCGGCGATGCGATGAATCCTGACTCGTGGGCTGCGTCTTGGGCTGCAACACAACCATTTGGTGCGCAGCTGTCACCTGTGCGTGGCGCGTCATTTGGCAGCCACACCCGACACGCGTCCCGTATTCGGTACTTCAATAACAAAGAAGAAAAGACAGCCCGCACAACACAACACCCCGCAAAAAAGTAATTAATCAATTCTTTTTTTTTTTTCTTTTTTTTTCTTTTCTTTTAAGATGGTAAAAGAAAGAAAAAAAATGTTAAAAACAACTGAACGCAGTTATCGTTCATGTGAACAAAAAAAATAATAATAATAATACAGACGCACACAAGCACATACAAAAAACAGAGAAAGAGACACATTTATGAACAAAAAACATATAAAACACCGAGGCAGTTGGCAGGAAAAAAAAGAAGAAAAAAGGCACACACACACACACACGTGGAGACTAGCGGATAAACTGCGGTGGTGGGCTCGTCTGTGGGGGCGAGCTCCGATGCACAGTGTTCTCATTGCGCTGGCGCCGTTCCACTTCTGCCAAATCTGCCTCCATCAGCTTGCGCCGTGTGGCCTTTTCCTCCTTGTTCCACAGGTACGGCATAAACCATGGGATGTTTTTCATACGCTGGTTCATTGTGTCAAGCTCCTTGAGGTACTTTACACGTGTCTCCAGCGTGGTGGAGGCCTCACCAACAAAATTCTTCATTTCATTCATCAATTCCCGTGGCATTTCTCGCTCCAGCCGGCCACCATCGTAGATCCAAGACACGCGAGGGATATGAGGACGACTCTTCACTCGAGAAATAACCAGCCGTTGAACCCAATGATTCAATTGATGAAGTAAAGGCTCCAACTCAAACCGCGCCCCTGGATCCACCGTTGACCACACAACATAAATCTCCTTCGAGCGGCGTGACCCTAAAACTTCCTGAATGACAAGCTGGGCAAAGTCTATGCGCTCCCCAATGTGTGCAGGACACGCCTTCAAAGAACGGCGCAAATGATACGCCACCCGCTCACAGAATGCACGGGCACTCGGTGACATATTCGACGCATGCCGCAAAAACCGCACCTCCTTACTCATCATCCCCGTCGGTTCAGGCGCTGAGGGCCAGAATGCACCTGAAGCGAGTTTTCGTGCCGCAAGAGGCGTAAACGGAAGTGGTGGCGAGGTGTATTTCGCACGCTCCCCCCAACTCTCATACTTGAGTGCATCTTTTTCAGACAGACCAAAGTTGGCGCTATTTCGTAGTGGCTCCATGTCACCAAGCCCCTGTAGCGCGTACGTTTTATTGAGGTTCACCCCTTCACGATCAAGTCGTGACGACTTTGAGTACAATCGCTGCTCCACGTAATGATATGGCGAGTGATCCCCCGAGGATATCCGACGTTTTCGCAAAATCTCAAGAATCGTGTTGCGCCGCTGCTCGGCTGTCTGACGAAGCGGCAACACCTGTGGTCGGCGAAAGCGGTAGCGCAGTTTTGTCATGTATTTCTGCGTCTGCCTATTGAGCAGACGCACACGGCTGGCTTCCAACATTATTTCCCCTTCTCGAGCAACGTTTTGCGGGTAGTCTCACACGGCCCCCACGCAATAGATGGGCAAAGCAGAGTAGCGGCAAGAGGACGTCGCAAAAAAAAGAAAAAAAAAAGAAAAACAAGGAAGTTAACATGCATGCATCTACACAGACACGGACACACACACACACACACAAGTACAAAAAAAAAAAAAAATAGAGTTAGGTAGAGGATCCCACCCCACTACACGACGCCACTTTTTGTTTCCTTCCGCTTTCGGTCCACCTCGTATTCAGGTATGATAGCCACAAACATCTTTCGACCATGAAAGACGCTGGAGAGTGTGTAGTGTGGATGATGCATCTTGTACAACATTGTTCGAAGTGCATCGAGGCGGGAATCCACAGCAATAGAACTTAAGTTACTCGTGCCTCGTCTCATTGGAAGGACACCACGTTGACGATAATTGGATTTGGTGAAGACGCGGTGAAAATCTGCATCCTCCGCTAGCGAGTCACCCGCATCCATTTCCGCGGCAACGTTGTTGTCGACCGATGTGTCTGACGACACAACCGCACGTGTTTTCGATCCCGCTTCTGGCCGCAATGTTTCATGTGTCAAATTGGAGCTTGCAGAAGTCATCTTCTGTATACTCGCTTCCGCAACTTCACCCAAACCTTCATCATCAGTGTTAAAATCATCATCTACCACCTCCCGGGCAGCCAACAACGCCACCTCAAGGTCTTGTGCACGCGCCCTCACGGTGTACACGCCATTGTCAATAATCATGAGGGATTTAATTTCCGTCACCTGTGGAACAAGATATCCGCTGCATCCCTTCCACGGCCCCTCCAATGGCTCCCTTTTTAGCTGCCGCACCCCATCACCCGCCATGAAGGCATGAAATGCCGCGCACTGCGACAGCATAAAGGGCATCACCTCTTCAATTAGTTGAAAAAAAGTCGACAGTGACTCGGGGATTACGTCCGCGTAGCCGCCTGATGCTTTGCTTACCCACTCATTCATTTCTTCTGTGTGCTCCGCCCCAAAAAAGAAGCCCCCACGCCACCCTGTCACTCGCTCCAGGTAGCGGTTTAGATGGGGGAACTTCTGCACGACGAAGGATGCGGGCGGGTCATCCATCAAGAAGTTGGCGGAAAACGCTGCTCCCATGGAAACGTCCGCCAGCGTGGGGTGTGGCGTCCCAAGAAGAAACATCGTTTCTGAATGCTGCTGGAAATGCTCCTCCAGAGCGCCACAGAGACGCTGGAAATGTTCATGCATGTACGGCGCCGTCTCCTTTGACACCCCCGTGACAGAAGTCAGTCTCTGCATCGCCTGTCGGAACTGTCTCACTATGGCTCGCGGCACACCAATGCCCGGAATAAGGAGGAAATAGCGAAAATAACCCTCCACAACCTCAATGCTTTCACCATCGACCCAACGATACATCGCCCCTGTCTTTGCTAGCCACCACGACGCGTACACAAAAATACTCCACGTTGCCAGATGAATATTTGGATGCGTACGTTTCTTTACGAGAAACGGATCTTCCACGCCTTGTATACCAGACCGCTCCACCGCATCTACTAGCTGCCACATCTGCAGGTGCGACTTGCCATCAGGCGCGACCGTGCAAAAGGCATTACGGGCGCGGAATAGCAGAGCATAAAACAAAGTTGTGGTCAACGTCCGACAGTAAACCTTGAAGGGCTGACGACGCAAGCGCAGGTATGTCACATGCTGGTGGAGCACCAATGCATACGGCGAGCCTAGCACACGGTATGCCATTCAACAGCTTTTACTTCTACTCCGCCCTGCGTGCAACAAGAAAAGCAAGGAAACAGGCGCGCAAGCACAGAAGAGGAGCAAACAGACAACATCTTAAATAATCGGCAACCGCAAAATCAACGTGAATAGTGCAACAAATAAATAAAAATGTAATTTTCACAATTCTTTCGATCCTCCTCTGACGCACAGTTCTTCAATTCCACCACGGACAACATTCTCTCCCTCGTTGTTGTTGTTTTTTGTTAGCCCCTCTTGTCATTGGAGACGCCCACAAGGCACGCACAAGGGAAACAAATAAAGAAGATTTAAAAAAAAGATCGAACAGGAGAGAACAAGATCTCCTGCCCATCGTGTCCATCATGCATGCATACAGCTCCAAAGGCGTTCATGGGTCAGATTCATCAATGTCTGGTGGCTCGGGTATGTCTTCGCCCATAATCCAGTTGGCCCGGCGCAGCAGTTTAAACAGTGCATCCACGGCATCAAGCTCCTCCGTCTTCACAGCGGGTCCCAGTGTTTTCTCCACTTCATTGACAAAGGCCTTGGCATCCAGGTACAACTGAAGCGTCATCTTGTCACGGTCCGACGCTGTCTCTTGTGTGGGTCGCACAGCAGCAGAAGAGGAAGAAGGATGTTCGCTCCCCGATGGTGCCTCAGCATCCGGGCCACGTCCACCGCTTGTGGTTTCTTTTCGGCGTCGCAACTTTTCCCAACTCTGTTCTGTCTTCTTCGCCGTCACAAGTGTTTCCTTGGCCAGCGCACGAAATCGGCTCGCCACGTCCTTCACCAACTCCGTCATAACGACATGATGGGTCTCTAAAGGCATTAATGAACGCACTGACGCATCAAGACGCTGCAGTGGCTCTACAATACTGGGAACGTACCAAGACGGTGCCGTAGGAAAGGGTTTGTGCATGTGCGAATACGCCGATCTCACAGAGCGAATATTCTGAAGACCAACAACACATTCTTCCGCCACACGACTCCGCACCAAAAGTTGAAGGGATAAAACAGCGCCACGACACGTATCTTGCGTGAGGAGTTGAATAAGAGGGGATGAAACGGGGAAGGGCGTTCGACTCTCCTTTTCTAGTCGCGCACAAAAAGGTCCTTCAAAGTACGCCACGAGAACATCAAGATCGGCGCAGGCTCCCATAACGAAATGGAGCCAGTCCTGCATCAAAGTACCATTTTGAGCTCCCTCTGTGTGCTCCAGAAAACTTTGCACCACCCGACGCGTTGCAACGGCCGCCTCACGAATAAATTTCGGCGTCAAGATGTAAATGTACGTCTCAGGAGAAAACAGCCAATCCAGCGCCTCCTTTAGTTTTGTGAAAAGCTCCATGCGAAATCTAGCGCCCCCCGTAACATGTTCTTCGGACTGATTGAGGGATTTTTGGGCCAATTTTTCAACTGGCGTTGCACGAAAAATTTGGATGGCGTCCTCTATTTTCTTCGATAATTCATTGGCCCGTATCGTGCCGTACACATCAGTATTCCACTTATGCTTCCACAGTGCAACATCCGGCGACCGCATCAGCACCCGTAACTCCTCCGAAGAGTTGCAGTTTGACATCATGAGAGCAAGCAGTTCATGGGCTGCAACATAACGCCGCTGAAAGGCGTCCGCCACGCCAATGTCGTACAGCGCAACCATCTTCTTTACAAGTGCCTCGCATAAGGTTGGCCATATAATCATTGGGATCGGTAGCACAGTTTCCTCAAAAGCTTCCCATATTATCGGTAAGAAACATAATACTTTTGTCTCCAGTTGATCCCGCAGAGTTGTGAGAAGGCTGATGGTCTCCTCCAGATTGTACCGAGCCTGTGTTGCGGCCCGCCATGAGAGCACAGACTCCAGCAGCGGTCTCAGAATCCGCTCACGATACATCCGGCAAAACTCCTGAAACTCCCCAGAGGTGCAGTACAATCCCATGACATCACGCAATGCCTGCTTTAACTCCTCTCGTGGGGCCTGCAGATAGGCCTGATGGAATGCAATGTATACTTTTGCAAACACTTGATGCGACAACTTTGTGCCCTCTCGAAGAATCTCTGAAGCCTCCTCATACTCCTTTGCGCGTTGTGGAAGTTTTGGCAGAGTCTGATAAAGGGCTTTCCACTGCTGTACTGTGACGGCGATATCAAAAATTGCCTCAAAAACATGTGGGTTTCCCACCGCCATCACCACAACTGTCGAGGAGGAGCTCTCCATGTGTTTCATCTGCTGCTGCTGCTGCTGCTGTTGTGGCGGTGGTGGTGCTGCTTGCTGCTTGTTGACCATCTCTGAGCAACGCAGACAAGAAGGAAGCGCCTCAACTCGGCCACAGAGCAAATCAAACATCAAAAGGATCTTAAGAAAAACCACATCAAATAGACGTGTCAGCTCCACTTCGGTTGCGTCTCGAATTTGGCCACTCACCGTTTCTTCAAGCCGCGAGAGTTTCTCCATCGCATCCTCAACCCTCTTCACGGCGGCGAGCACAGACTGCCGCACACAACGCAGTTCATCCTGCATCCCAACGAGGTGCCCAGACACCTTCACAAAGGCGTCATGGACGTCCATGTTAACATGTCGCAAAATGCTCCTGTCAAGTAGCGTTGCGTAAGCCTCAAGATCACGGCACAAACTACGGAGCGGCACGCCGTGATCCAACTTCTCTTGCACAAACTGAATGGGATCAAAGTCGAATGCGATGACGACGCCGTTTTGGTGGGTTTTGTTCCTTTGCCGCAAGAGGTCGGATCCAACGCCATCATGCTTTTCGTCTCTCTCATCCGTCACGTCTTTGTCAAGTGCCACACCAAACTCATGTTCACCAAAACAAAGCTGAATGAGTTGCAACTGCTCCAAATCCACGCTGGCCTCATTCACGGCGTCCTCACGATCGCCGTCGTCTACACCGCCGTGCTCCATCTCCACAAGAGTCGACATGAAGGGTCTACTCTTCGTTCCTTCTGTTTGGTTGGAAGAGAAAATAATATCAAAAATAGAAAATAAAAACAAACAAAAACAAGAGGAAAAGCAGGACACCACCCCCATCTTGCAGTAAGGAGAAAAAGCACAAGACACCACATATTGCTACCCTCATGCATGCGCCCGTCAGCTACCAATAACCCACACACGGTCGCCCTCCCGGCAAACAAAAATGGCAAAAAAAAACACAAAAAGCACCAACCTCCACCTTTTAGCTCCACTTCTTCGTTCATGCATTCTTTCCACAAACACACACACAAAAACCTTCCTTTTCCTTTTTCACTTCTCGGGTGTCATCCATGCATCGTTTCAGGACGCTCCGTACAGGCGGCCTCGGCAATGCGCCTCATGTGTTCCGCCTTCGCCTCGCCACTCGCCACCCTCTTCATGAACTCCACACGCTCTGCATTGTGCCGCTCCTCTCGCAGCCACGTGAGATTACCCCGTGTCTCCTCGCGACTGCGTGGCACGTAAACAGCCTTACCAAATTGCCAGTCTAAATGATGCATGCGTTCCCATTCCTGAAGAATTTCATCACGCGAGTCCACTGGTAAGGCGTGTACAAACCCAAGTTCTGGCTGCAGTGGACACTGCTGCATCACCGCCAGGGCAGCTGGTGTGACACGAGGCCGTGAGTCTGGCCGTGCAGCCGACACATGCGTGAGCACGTAGTCAATGATTGTTTCCACGCTGCGTAGTTCCCGTCTGTCGGCAGATGTTGGACTGAGGCGGAAAACCCCTTCTACCACTTGATAAATGACACGTTCTCTTAGCGTCTCTTCCTCAAATACAAAACTTTCGATTATACGTCGCTCCGGTAATTCAGTAAGTGGATTTCCCTCAAAGTCCAAACGTCGCAGTTCATATCCATCCCGTTGTGTCTCGGCAAATATAACATCCGTGAGTTTATCGAGAAGATACTCTCGTATCTCTGAATCCGTCATACTCAAAACAACCGATGTGAACTCCTCATCCCACGCTGGGGGTTTCGCCGTCTCCTCTGTTGTTCCTGACGTGTTTGTTATTTTCCTCCCAGTATGGTTGGGCGGTGCAACATTTGGCAGCCACGGCTGCTGCGTATGCCACCACTGCCACGCAAAAGCAGAGGTTCCACGGGTCACACCGACACCTTCCGGATTAAATCGCTCAACATAAGGCAACGGTCTGTGCGATTGGCTCTGATCCCACTTGCTTATGCCTTGTGCTTGCCGCTGCCACCGGTTGAGCTCACGGTACTTTTGCATGTGCGGGCGACCACGCCGAAGCACATTTTGATGTCGGGACTTGCGGTGGACAAACGATAACCGCAACATGTGTAGCTAATAAATAATACCCGTGGCTGTGTGTTCAATTGGTGGAAACAAACTGGCTTCTCCCTCCCTGCACTGCAAAAAACAATGTGTGTAACAATCCCCTGATCCGTCCAGGCATCGTTTCGCGTCCGTGTTTTGTGACACACAGACACACAGACAAAGAGAGAAAGAGAGAAAGAGACAGTAAGTTCCAAAAGGGCAGAATGACTCGCGGCGGTGGACGGCAGCACTGCAGCAGCCAAAAAAAGAAATACAGAGCGCCGCCCACTTTATTTATTACACATAGAAAAAGAGGAAGAGGAGAAAGAAAACGAGAAAAAAAAAAAATAAATCAAAAGGTTAAAGTGAAAAGGGAAGGGAAAACGGCAAGACCAGAAAAAAAAAAAAAACAAGAAAAAAAACACACACAAGAAAAAAAAAAATGGCGATAAGTACGGTAGATGATGCACACAAACACCACCACAAACGGGCACACAAACGCCACGCCTTCAAAAAGACAGAGAGAAAGAGAGAGAGAAAAAAAAAAAAGAAAAACCAAAAAGTCATACGAAAAGAAAAACGCCAGCAGGCACCCAAAAAATGAAAATGATGTTCCGCAAAGAAAAATACACACAAAAAAAGGGAATTTATGTGCGCATTCTTTTCTTTTCTTTTCCCTCCGCTTCTTCACATCTTTTCGGGGATGCGAGAAAAGGGAAAAAATGGGGGTTTCATTCCACTCCCTTCTTTTCTCTTTTTTTCTTTTTTTTTTTTTCAAAGAGTCATCTCATGCGCTCATTTCATTCGTGTGGTTCTTCTCTGCACATCTCCCGCAAACGCCTCCCTCCCACCTTTTTTTTTTTTTCGGTTGTTGTTGTTGTTGTTGTTGGGGGGTTTCCGCATTATTACTATTATTATTATTATTGTTTGTGTTGTTGTTGTTGCGGGATCCACACGAGTCCCCGGTGTTTTACATGCGAGGGATTTTCGTTACGCATCCATTCATTTCCGTTCCTTCCCGCAAGACACAACGCCGCTCAGTGCTCTGGTGCGTTTGGCACCCAATTGAGGAAGAACTCCTCCTTCCTTATCACCGGCGCATGCCTCCTCCTCCTCCTCCCCCTCCCGTGTGCGTCCTCCGCGGCCAAAACCGCAGCGGTTGCCTCCTCCCCAATTTTCTCTCTTTTTTTTGTTTTTTATCGGTTTTGATACCAAAAAAGAAAAAAAAGGGAAACCACCACAAATGCGTGTGTGTGTGTGTGTGTGCCGTTGCGTCGAGTAAAAACTTCACGGCTTTAAGAGAAGAAGAGGGGGGTTAAGGAGGGGGGATGCGGAATGAAATGGAAGCAGCAACGACAATACAAAAGAAAAAAAAAAAAAAAAAGAGGAAGAGAGTCATTTAATAAAAGAAGAAGAAGAAAAAAAGAAAAAAAAGAAAAACCATCACCTCCACGTGCCTCAAATTCAGACCACATCATCAACATCCTCCCCATTTATATGTTTTTTTTTCTTTTTATAAATACGCGTATAAAATATAAAAAAAATACATATTTAAATATATCGTTTTGTTTGTTTGTGTGTTTGTGTGTGTCTATTGGATTTCTTTGATGGCTTTTTTCTTCTTCTTTTTGTTTTTCTTTCTTTCTTTCTTTCTTTCCTCAACTTCTCTCGTGTGCGTGATAATAATAAATAATAAATAATAAATAACAGTCACCACCGTCGAGGAGGCCATGTCCATGTCTCCTTCCCGTTACATCAACCCCCCCCCCTGCCAATTTTCTTGCCTTTTTGTTGTGTGTTTTTTTTTTTTTGTTTTCTCTGGCCATCCGTCAAGCCCACTCCATTTTCCCTTCCCTTCATTCCTCTTCCCCTCTTCTGTTGTTTATTGCTCCTGTTGATTGGGGGAGACGGTGAGAGAGGGAGAGAGGCGAAGGGGAAGATGTAAATATAAATATGTGCATATATGTATATGTTGTGTTCATTCACTCACGTATATTTCTTTTCTTTTCTTTTCTTTTTTTTTTCGTTTAATTTTTATTCATTTCTTGCCGCTGCTGCTGCCGCTGTTGTTTTTTTTTTTGTCGTTTGTTGTTGTTTTTGATGTCGTCATCGTCGGCGTTATTTCTTTTTTCATCTGTTTTTTTTTTTTTCTTTTAATTTTATTTTATTCCGCCATTTATAGTCGTCTTCGCCGTCTCTCGTGGGCGCAACTTTTATTTTCTCCATCCATCCATCCACATCCACGTCCCCCCCCCCCTCCCCTCTTCTCTCCTTCTCTCCCACTATTTATTTATTGTTTGCGTCCCATCACCAACTCCCCCGCCAGCATTTTTTTTTCCTTCCAGCCACGCCGCCCAACAGACATGCGCACAAAGACACAGGCAGCACATGCCGCCAAACAAAAAAAAAAAAAAAAAAAAAAGGGACTTCTCAACACCTCCTCCAACCCTCCCCCGCCCTTTTTTTTTTCTTTAATTTAACTTTCATTATTTTTTTTATCTTTCTTTTCAGGTGCCACGCGATCACACACATGTTAACTCGAGTTCTTCTCTTTGGGTTTCGCCCGTTTTTTTTTTCTTTTTTTATTCTTCGCCACATCCTCATGTTCCCACGTTGCTGTTTTTGTTTTTGTTTTTTTTCTTCTTTTTGGGCTCCCCCTCCCCCCGCCACCACCTCCGCGGAGGCGATGTAAAGTCGTCGTGCCTGCCAACCAACATGCACCGCCGTGCGTCGTGCGTGACGGCTCTTGACAACTTACAAAAAAAAAAAAAAAAAAAAACGATGGAAAAAAAGATGCGGGAAAAAAACAAACGCAAAAAGAGGGGAAGGGAGAAGGGTAAAAGAAAAGAAAGTAATGTGCGCCGGGACGCGGCCTGGTCCCCCCTATTCCTACAGACAGAGAAGGGGGCAACGGTGGGGAGATGACGGCTGGGTTCAGTGCGCCTGGCAGCCCCCGCACTCGTAGTGAAAAAATTCTCCCCACGCCCATACATCAGTAAACCAATCGGTCCATTGAGGCTCGTCCTATGAAAACCGGGCGCGCTGCGGACCCCACGAAGCGGCGGTCCCTAAAAAAAAAAGGGGGGAGCCTCGCAGCCAACAAAACTCCCCTCCATGCGGAGAGTCACAGTAGTAGTGGTGGTGGTGGTGAGGGAGTGGGCGGGTGGAATGAAAAATAAAAAGAAACTGCACTCGCTGCCCTCCAAGGCGGTGTCTTTTAAGAGAAAAATCGGGCAACCGAAACTCGAGTGGGCGGGAAGGCTCAAAAAAGAGGCACCATCCATCGTTGACTCCTCCTTCCCTCCCCCTCCATTCATAAATGCCGCACACTCTTCTCTCCAAAAAATTCCACCAATAAGAAAATGAATATAAAAAAAAAAAGGGAAGAAGAATTGAACACAGAATGTTTGGTTCAAATCCGTCAATGTTAGAAAACGCTGCCGCACCCATCGCATTTGTCCCCCCGCCTCGCCTTTATTCATGTGTTAGCCGCTGGGCTTTATTCGTGCTGGTGTCAAGGATACAACTGGGCAAGCTCCTCCGTGATGGCGCGGAATTTTGGATTTGACTCATTCTCCTGCCGCCATTGCCTCAACTCGTCCTCTGTGAAGAAGCCCGCCTGCACCATCGATGCCACAAAGTCCGGTAGGATGCCGCGCAAGAATGACCCTAACCGCGTGAAACTCATGGACTCCATGCTTTCGGCCGCCGTCACTTTATTTGGTGCCTGCCGTGCCACCAAAAGTTTGTCCCAAACGTGAATAAAATCCTCCTCCCACTCCTCCGTTTCATCGTAAACGACCTGAAGAACGTCAAGGTACCTCGCTGTGCGTGCAATGATGTCTTTTGTCACGCACAAAAAGTTTAACTCCGTGACGCGTGTAACGACATCTACAAACCGAGAATAAATACGCGGACAATCAGCCACATCTCGTTCTGCAATAATTTTCGTAAGACACCATGCAAATCCACGGCCCAGAATACTGCGTTCCCAGTTCCCACTTTCAAGAGCCGTGCAGAACAGCGTCCGCTCGCTCTCTTTGGGGTCCATTAAAGCCCGAAGTAGGATCACGTAGACGCTTGTCATTAAACTCTGGCTACTGCTTTCATTGGGACCCAAAACACGTGAGAGGTCATTCGTTATCCAGTCACGATTCGGTAACCCATCCTCCACGGCATCGCGAGCAATGCGAAAGATGTTTCGACGCACTTCTTCTGTAAGTGTCTCTGGTGGTCGTGCAAGCACAATCAGCTTCCTCTCATCCACCGACAGCTGCTCCTCCACCCCCGCGTATTGCAACGTTGGTGGTGGTGGTGGCGGTGGTGGTGGCATGGCGTACGCACCATAACCAGGCAGATCCAAGTGGCTCGTCGAACGTCGGGCCCCAACACCGTATGGATTTGAGACATCTTGGTAGCTTTTCGCTCGTTTCCCTATTGGTGTCTGAAGCTGATCGGAATTCCGCTGCTGCTGCTGGTGGTGTTGCTGATGGTGTTGCTGGTGCTGCTGCTGCTGATGATGATGGTGGTGGAAATGATACCGTTGTTGCTGGTGTTGTTGTTGTTGTTGCTGTTGCTGCTGCTGCTGCTGCTGCTGCTGCGGGTCTTCCACTATGACCTGCTCCGGCTCCCGTGGCTTCCAACCGCCATTGCGCCGTTCAATGAGGTTCTGCAGAAGAAAACGAATACGATTCGAAAAGCGTCGCTCCTCTTGTAATTCCCCCAGTAGCTTCCACAATGCGGGTTGTGCCGCAGGGTGCTTCTCCTCATACATCTTCCCTACGACCTCCAGTAAGTTGACAACGACCTCCAGATCCATGTCGTTTGGTGTAATATTAAAAAGTTTCTCACCCAATATGCGATCGATAATCTTTTGTGTAATGAGTGACTTCAAAAAAAGTTCACCAGCAAACTTGATGTTATTTACGTTGCGTTTACGCACCTTCTCGGCCTCCTCTTCCGAAGCGGTTTCCCGCACTGCCTTGGTAGCCCCGTCAAACATTTGCTGACACTTTTCCACTATCGCCACACGTACCTCACTCTTCTGGGCATCGACTTCACCGCTTTGTGTGCTGCGGTAGTCATATTCGTAGCGTACAATCATGTAACAGAGCCGTGCGTATAAACCAGCAAAGACAGGTTCAACAAGAGCCTTGTCGTAGATGAGACGCACCACATCTGCCACCACATTCGCATTCAGAATGATCTCCGGGACAAGAATAGCTTTGGCAATCAAGTCAAAGTTGGATTCTGTCAGTTTGTTAAGTGTGCTCTGCACCATGCGCACACCTCGCTCGGATGGGGCAATCGCGTCCCTGTCCTTCACTTTAAATCCATTGCTGGTCATCACAAGTTTCTCGGGCGCCGCAGGCTTGCTCTTGGCGGCTCGCGCAGCAAACAGAATACGCCCTAGCGAAAAATCATCCGACAAACGCTCCTTCCAGGTGTCTCTGTAAGCAAGAAGATCGGGTATCGTCATGATACGAGAGTTACCAGCATATTTCGGGTCATTGCTCGTCACGCCCCGTGGCTTGAAGAGCATGCCTTCACCTTACTACCTTCCTAAGCTGTTACAGTGGTGGATGTTACACATCGACAATGTTGGGAAAAGTAAAAGAAAAAAAATAAAATAAAGAGAAAGAAAACGAGATTTAAAAAAAAAAAAAAAGGAAGACTGAAGGGCAAGGTTGAAAACACCAAGGAGAAAAACTGCTTTCTCTCTCTCTCTCTCTCCATGTATGCAGATATATATATATATATATTGACAGGCAAACACAAATGAAGAAGAGTGACAATTTTTGTTGTGTGCGTGAAAAAATGCATAAAACGTCTTTATGAGAAATGTCATCTTTTGTTTCGTTTTCTCTCCGTTCTTCGCTTCTCCCCACCCTCTCCTCAACACACACACACACACACACACACACACACACACACACACACATAATCTCTCACGCAAAGTGGAAGAGTACTGTCATCAACATGCATGGTAGCAGCCCATCGATATTCATCATCTACTGCAGTATCATATCGACCTCACATCATCAGACCTTCACATACACTACAGAGGGGCCCAGTGACGTAATCATAAGTGCCACATGAGAGGCACCGACTCAACACCTCGTCTTGTTTCACAAAAGAAAGCGGGGTAAATGTACTGCCAGAAAACACCGTAAGGTGAAACCCCGTCGCACAGTCCTGTAATTTTCCTTCCATGTTTCGCCCCACCTTCGTGGTGGAAGTAAGAGACATGGTTAAAAGCGTCTGCTCCTCCATCCCACATATGGAACAGGGAAAGCGAGAAGGAGACGTCAATGTGTTTTGATCTTCCCTCTCTTTTTGTAGTGTTCGTTGTTTTCGCCACATCTGAGCCTCCACAGTATCGACAAATTTCCCAACCTGCTCTACAAATCCCCCGTCGTAAACCCACGCCCCTCCCTTGACGGATTGCTGCTGGTACAACCTACCAAATTGAACAGCAGCCAAAAACGCTAGATACGAGGTGTCTGCCGCCTCTAACGGCAAGGCCGCGCTTTCACTCCTGGTGACTCCGGCGTAATGCACCTCCTCCGCCATGCGCCTCACGGCGTTTGCCAAGAGAAGCTCCATTAAAGCCGCGTCTCCCGGAAATCGACGCCAGATGCGGAGTAGTGTCCATCGCCACGCCGCGTTGGCCTCCGGAAATCGCAGAAACAACTCCACGCCGTGTTTCTGGCGCTCCTCAAGGTACCCGCGTCGCCATGCGCCAAGTACCCGGTAATACAAGGAGAAAAAAGGGGAAGAGGTTGCGTGGATGTTTCCCCCCTCGTCTTTTACTTCTACTTCGATCTTTGAAAACTCTAACACACGCTTGGTCTCCTCATGATGTGAATGTGCAATCGCGGAGGCAACAGCGGAGCCTGGCAGCAGGTCCTCCCACACAAAGTACGACGTGGAGTGCTGTCTGTTCCACAAAGCCGGAAGCACAGTGTTGATTGGTGCCGTGGCCGATATCGTTGCCACGTCACCGTTCCCATCGGACAGGGAATCGAACCCCTCCAGAAGTTGAAGAAGACGTAACAAAAACCCACCCTTGGTGTTAAGACTAACCGGCAGCAGTTGAAACGGCGGATATTGCCGCATACCAATTCGGACTCCTATAACCGCCAATGTGCAAGAAGGGTGAATCGCCGCACCCAAAACTTCCAACGCGACGTCACGCGGAAACTCGCTACCGTCCATGCGCAAACAATGCAGGAGTTCCACGCATCGCCTTCCCACAAACCCCAACAGACGACGCTGGCATACACCCAATACAAGGTAATGTGCATCACGCCCATCCATCGCACTCTCACTAGTCGTGCTCTTACGTTTCGTTAGTGTGGTCGATGCCTCCGTTGGTACAAAGGAACTAAGGGGGACAACTAGAAAGTGACGCACAGAAACTTCGTCACCCAATTCGCCTTCGGAATTCCATGAACCCACTGCGGTCCAATTGACCTGCCGTGCCTCACCCACGACATTGTTCGATGGGCCCACCACAAGGTTCCCCTCAAGAATACACATCGGGGCAGAAACAAAGACGCGCATAGTAGACTTACTCGCATCGCTCATCATGGAGCAGAGGGCGGTAGGAACGCCATAGAGAGAAGGTACTTCAACGTAATGTGTCAAATGCACATAAGTAGTGGAAACAGTAAAGATGCGAAGCCAACACGGAGACGCCACAACCAGCCGATAGTCGTTCCTATCACACCCCAACACCCGCGTTGCACATGATGCCACTAGACTTGCCAGGGGACTTCCTGTGAAACAAAATGCGGGTGATGGAAATAATCGCAACTGCAATTCCGTCTCATCTGAGACGTCGTCAAATAAATTGAGAAGATAAATACCACCCACTGTTACCACTACCAGAAGATCCAACGGAAACCACGCATAGCTGACCACACACCACCCTGGGCCATCTGACAACCGTAAGTGGCCCTTTCCACCATTCTCAGCGTCGGGAACGGCAATATTCCCAAAAGATGAACGAGCTCTTTTACGTCCTTTTCGCTCCGCACCAGCGACAGAGTCTAAACCTTCCTCCGAGGCAACTTTTGGGATAAAACAAATCCCACAACTCACGCGAATCCTCCCTTTACCGGACCGAATGACGCGATATATGTAAATATCACGTGTGGTTCGCACACACAGTCTGCATGTCGCAGGGTACGCCTTTTCTGGAACCAAATCCAATGCCCATTTTGCTCCCGTGATGCACATCATGCTAGAGGTGTCACCGCGAGGCTGATACGCGGGTCGAAGGACAAAGTCCGATGCAACAAGACCTCTGATGTGCAGGTACAACGCCCAGTGCGTGGCTACAAGAAGAACATTGTGTGGACTCCACGCCACGGATTCTGGGCTGTGGACGCACTCACCGTCTACCGGGGCACAATCCGTCAAGTTAAGCAGAAGATGCGCCACACGATGATCCACCATTTGCCGCGGCAGATGTATGCAGTTTTTTTTTTTTCTATTTCTCCGATGTCGTTGTTATTTTAGCTGCAATCCGTCTCTTCCTCCCCTCAAAACAAATAGACACTTCGTTCCTTCCCACTCTATCAAAGCCGGACTGGAAAACTCACACGAGTGGCCCGTTGTCTTTTGGGCCTGTAATGCTCGCTTAAGCCCACCCCGCACACCTCATGTGGCCAACGCGTGGGTGTGGGAAGAGCACAGACATCAGGAAACCAGAAAAACAACAACAAAAAAAAAACAATTAAAAGAAGCAAAAAAGAAAAAAAAAAGGGGGACGGGTGCTCAATAAATAATAATAATAATAATAATATCCGTCTAATACACATTCGGTTAAAATTAATTATATGCCAATAATAATAATAATAACAATAATAATAATAGTAAAGGAGCGAAAAAAAAAAAAAAAATTTTTTTTTTCTGAGCACACAAAAAAAATGACCTTCTAAAATCCTTTACATTCCACACATACAAAAAAATAAATAAAAATAAATAAAAAATAAATAAATAAATAAATAAATAAAAACAGACAGTTTCATATATACTAAATACATTTCCTTGCTCTCACTTTCTCTTCCTCCCTCCCTCTCTCCATCTAGTTCACATATAAATATATATATATATATATATATAGGGAGAGAGAGAGACAGAGAAAGAGGAATATGGCGGTATACATCCCTTTTTCCCTTCATCATTTTAACCTCCGCGTGTTGCAGGGGGACTGTGTCATTCACCCTCCCAGAGAGCCGGTTCTACATTGACAAAAACACAGAGATGGTGGTCATGGTGATATCTGGAGAAATCCCATGTAACGATTATATACATCCCAGTCCACTCTACGAAAAAACAACAAGCAAAAAAGCAAACGCAAGCATCCAGAGTTTATTCACACGCCTTACCGTGCCTCAAAAGATTGTTGGTAGTTCATGCGTGGAGGAGGATTGTTGTTGTTGGTGGTGATGTTGCTTCTGCGGAACTGTAGACACTTGCTTCCGCTGGAACAAACGGTAGCCTTCCGAATCGCTGCCATGCGTCCCCCTTCGATCCCCAACGGCGGGTAGCGTCCGGTAGCCATCGTCGGCAGATGGAGCGGGGCCTGTCGTTTCCGTTGCTACGACTGCCTTCCCAGTCGAAGAAGGGGAAGAGGCGATATTTCGCTTCTCCTGCCCTGTCGTCGCACTTGATCTTCGCAGATGATCATCAAACGCGTCAAGATCGCGGCGCAGTGCCCCTGCAAGACCGTTTCTCTCGACGATAGACCGTAGTTCAAAAAAGAGTGGGTTCATCATTTGCCGTAACTTCTCTAGTTCTTGAATGCGTCGTGCGTACTGCTCGTTCTGGTCCGCAAGCATTTTCTCCTTGTAAGTCTCCATGATGGTTGACTCCACCTTCATGGAGGCAATCGTTTCGTTAAGCACCGCCACCTTTTCACGCTGTTGCTCCAAGTCCCGCCGCATCCGTTCATTTGCCTCACATAATGACTTGTATGAGGTGTCCCCGAGTGCACACTCAAACCGTTCAATTGTGCGCTTTGCCGCATTGAGCTCCTGCTGAAGTACACGGATCTCACCCTTCATTGCCCGCTCCGCCCCTTCCCGCTCACTTTGCTTCATCGCCATCTGCCGCTCCATCCTCTTCTCCTGCTGCTTCAGTGATTGCACCTCCGCCTCAGCCCTGCTAGCACGTTCCTCCTCCGCTAACCGAGCACTCTTATGTGCTTTTATTTGCGTCTCCGACTTTAACTTCAGTGAGTTGAGTTCCTCGCTGATGCTCTGTACATGGCAGGCGTGCTCCTGGGCCCGCCGCGCAAGCTTTTCACTCAATTCTTCCACCTTTGTTTTTAATGTCTCCTTCTCTGCGTTGAGAAAAATGGCATTCTCGACATACTCCTTCTCGCGAGCTGCGTATTTTACCACGGTCTGTTGCAGTTCCTCATGCAGGCGGTCATGATTCGCCGTCATACGGAGAAGCTTTTCAAAAAGGTCCCTTTCAACTTCCTCCTTTTGTGCTTTTAACTCATCCGCAAGGGCCTTAAAGGCATCACGTGCGGCACATACTTCGATCATGTCATCACGCATCCTCCGCGTGCTCTCCTCGGTCGTGCGCACCAGCGTTTCCTTCTCCTCCTTTAGCCGCTCATTAGTGGCACGCAGAACGGCTATCGTCTCAAACGACTCCCGTTCATTCTTCTCTGCATTTTCCTGCAATTTTTGCAAACGTACCTTCAGACTCTCAATTTCAGCTCGCAATAACGCCTTCTTCGTGTAGGCATCATCGCCAGTAATACGTAGTTCCTCTGCCATCTTCGTGAGATCCTTCTTGAGCTGCTCCACTTCCCCTTTGAGAGAGACATTCACTTGAAAGTCATACTGCTCACGTTCTGCAGCTCTGGCGCGGTGGGTATCGAACTGTGTCTTCAACTCGGCCAGCTCCGCGCTCACATTTTCCAAATTCTTTGTGAGTTCCCCTACCTGCGCCTTATGTACACCAATCTCCAGTGTAAACTGCCTACGCTCAACAGTCGCCTCCGCATGTGCTGTATCAAGCTCACGGTAGAGAGACTTTGTCTTCTCACGCTCAGCATCCAGCAGCGACTGCACCCCCTCTAGTTCCACCCGCCTGCCTGTGGAAACCTCATGAAGCCGTTTGCATTCATCCCTCGAAGCCTCAAGCTGCGAGTTAAGAAGACTGATAAGCACACTCCCCTTCTCATCATCTCGGCCCTTTCGCTCAAGCTCAGATTGAAGCAAACGCGCCGTCTCGCGGTATTTCTCTACTTCTTCGTTGAGAACTTTCAGTAAAAGTGCCGTCTCGGCATCTGTGCTCTGCGGATGGGCGTGTGCGAGTCTAGCATCAATGGCCAAGGCATCGGTGTTCTGCGCCTCCTGCAAGGCATTAAACTGCACTTGTAGTTCCTCATGCAGCCTATTAAGCCGCGCGTAATCCAATTTCAATTCGCGGTAGGCGTTTACTGACTCCTCACGTAAACGCTCGACATCCCACAGTTGTTCCCGAGAAACACGCATCTTCTCCTCGAGCTGATTCTCTGCCTCAACGCTTCGCATTTGCGCAAGCTCCAGTTCATTTCCAAGCATTGCCACACGTCGCAAGGCAGACTCCCGCTCCTGCATCATATTGTCAACGCCCAGCTGCATCCCGCTCAACTTTGCGCGGAGCTCACGGGTCTCGCGGTCTTTGTACTCGAGGGCTTCATTCAGCGCCTGCTCCCGTATCTCAAAGGCCAACTTCAATTCACGCTCTGTGATGGCACGATGAATGTCCATCTGCCGCTGCCGCTCATTGTCCAGAGCGCGCCTCCACTCCTCCTCCAGCCGCTGACGTGCCTCCGACTCCAGTCTGCGCAGACGCTCCTGCTCCTCGGCGAGTTTCCGCAGCTCCGCTTGGCGCAGAAGCTCCGCCTTTTCGGAATCGTTGGCCCCTCCCTTCTTCTTTGACGGCATATAAAACTCAGTAATAGTGATAAAAAGAGACACACAGGCACGCACAGAGAGAAGAAAGTAAAAAAAAAAAAAAAAGGCCCAGGCACACTAGTTCACTTCTTCCTTTTGTTCTCCTAGCTACATTAGACCAAAAAAAAAAAAAAAAACAAGGAAGGAAACAAATGCCTTACATGGCATTCATTGAAAGACGTCAATGAATCCAGTGGAAAGACCGTAAAGTCAAATTGAATGCAAAAAGAAAAATAAAACGTGCGGGTAGGGCGCAGTAAACACTGCCGTCCGCACGCCGACAGCAGTGGCCAGCCATTCATTGCTCCACCGCCGCCCGCAACTCCCCACATCCCCTCTTACCGTAAAAAAAAAAACCAAAATTAAAAATAAATGAAATAAGTTTTAAAAAATTGCCAATATTGGCAGCCCTACGAAATATGATGAGCAAAGAACAGTCGGTTCACCCCGAATTAGGGGCCTTGCACTGTGCGTGACGCCCACAGGATGCGGTGTGAAGAAGTATGGGACAGACCCACGTTTTGAGGCCATGGCACTCCCTGACGAGTGCACGACCCCTGGCCCTGACATCAACACATGCTGCGGCAGATCGTTGCGCCGACGTGTAGAATAAACGGGCCGTAGTCAACATCGATGAAAGCTCCTCTGTGTTCTCTTCTGCAGTTGGTCCCTGCAACGTCTCCAGTGGCATTTTTCCAAAACAAGAGATGCCCGATGCAGAATTGGTAGTAGAATTTCCTACTTCCCTGCCAGAACGTTTACCATGAGAACCATAGTTATTTTCCCCACGTCGTAGACCCTGCCGCCGCCTCCGACGTCGCTGCCGCTGCTCGAGTGACTTCTCCCACCTGCGTAGTGTGACTGTCAACTCCCTTGGTGTGACAAAAAAGGTTGAAAACAGGTGAACACCAACCGATGAAGCGGGGGAAGAGGTGGTGCTGCTAGTTGCTGCACGTTTGGCGTGCACAGATGGACGACGGCGCCACCATGGCTTTGGAAGAAAATCCCCAATGCCTCGATTCGATGCCTTCCAGTCAACATGTCCGATGGTGTCATTACACTTCCCCTTATTCATCTGATGCGTCCTTTCGTCATTGTTGTTGTTGTTTGTGTTGTGACAAGACAGCATGGAGCCTTCACACCGCCTCCGCCCCTCTGGCGCATTAATACAAAGCAGAGAGCGGCGCATTTACACACGCACAAACAACTTCGTATTAAAAAATAAAAAAATAAAAAATCACAAGAACAAAAGCAAAGAATACATATATACATATAATTATTTATCTATCAGCGTGGCACACATTCAGAATAAAAAACACTCACACAGAGAACAAGATATAAATAGATAATCAATGACAGATGTACACACACACACACGCACGCACAAACACCCTCCTTCTTTTCATCAAAACATCCGACACACGCAAACGAATCATGCGGAGCCAACAGCACCACCTTCCGTTCTCCTCTTAATGATGTATGGGGTACTACTGCTGTTAAATGCATACACGCATATATGCATAGATGTCGTCTAACTGTTGCGTCTTCTTTTTCTCCCTCTCCTCTGTTCTAACGTATACACCCGAAAAATGTAATAGAGCGGGGTTGCAAAAAACAAACAAACAACAAAAAAAAAAAAGAAAATAGCAGCAACACGCAAAGCATCCGCATCTCACCGTTCCTGTGGTCATGTCACCGTTGATCTCTTGTACGCTCAGTGTTCCTTTTCCTTTTCCACCTCGTCCCTCGGTTCTCCCTGCATTCTCTTCATAAAACTCTCCCGTCCAGTTCAAACAATTCTCACCAGCACCATCACTTTCTTGTTTGTTTGTTTTTCTTTTCCCATTCATCAGAAGCAGGTGTATGGCATGGCCCAATCATCAGACACTCACACACAAAAATAAAAAAACAAAATGACAAAATAAACGAAAGAATATAAATGTCTAAATGTTGTGTGAGGCAAAATACAATTCCATGTCCCCTCCACTTTCTCTCGGCACATCCATCAGCAGCAAACGACGTAAAGAGTAGTCATAACGCCAACAAGAATGAACAAAAACCCCACCACCACCACCACACACCAAAGAAAAACTGAACAAAAAGAGAAAAAAAAAAGACGGTACCAAACGGTGTTTTTTTTTTTTAAAGTAAAGGTGGTGCTGCCCATGAGCATACAAGTCCACGAAAAGAGACAAATTCAGTGATTTTGTGATGCGGAGTGGAAAAAAAAAAAAAAGGGGGGAAAATAAACGCTGCGGTGTTTCTCTATGCCCGACGTGGGTCCCACGAAGGCTCCCTCGTAATTTTGTTTTCATTTGTACCCCCTCCATCTATTCCCTGTTGTTCGTGAGAAGTACGGCAAAAAGACACAAAACAAATAACAATAATAATAATGGGGAATCAATAATAAATAAAAAAAAAGATGTCTATGCCGACATAAATAGAAATACACACGCATACATACACACAGAGACAGACAGATACAGGTGTAACAACCCCCCCCCCCCCCCGGCACTTCATCGACGGAAATTGTTGCTCAGTACCGTCTCCACTTGCGTAAGAATTCCGGTATGATCCACAACGAACGGTTCTGCCGTACCGTCTGCGAGAACGTAGTACTTTTGCCCAACGTTGTGTCTTCTGTCACTTTGCCAGCGAATATCCATGAGCGTGTTGCATACTACCTGTGAGCGGAGGTTAGAGAGCCGAAAGAGTGTGAAGGAGCCGGAAGGGTCTGGAAAGACCTTTCTTACATAGACAAACTTTGTGTCCTTTGGCACGGAGCTTTTATCACGTTGATGAATATATGCTGCGTGAACGGCCGCCGGCGTCAATCCCTCCGCCCGAAGTCGTGCCACTTCATTCACGAAACCCATGATACTTTCTAGAACACCGCCAAGATGTCGTTGTGCCTCGGAGACGCTGAGTAGTCTTACATCCTCATCGTAAAAAGTCTGCACATGTGGGTGTGGTTGACTGCGGTTTGTGCTCTCGTTGTTCATGCATGGTACGTACAACACCAGTCTAGAGTGAACATCCACTACTGCCGTGCCCACACCGGCTTCTGTTGGAAACATGGCGCCATATCTACCGGGCTGTGCGCAGTAATACATCACTACCGTCTCTTCATTGGTGAAGGAGTAGAAACGAACCCATCCACCACTAAGGAAGTCGTCAACAAACCGCTGTCTATTCTGTTCTTCACGAGGAAGTGCCAAAAATGCATTGTTACCTCCAGAAACACGATGACCGCCAACAACTTGGCGTGCTTCGACGCCAGATTGCACCAACGGATGGGATGGCTGACGCGGTACGGGAAAATTCGGCGGTGGAACGGCTTGGGGCACCAAGTATGGTGTGTTCTGTGGCATGCCCGGCCCTCTACGGGGTAACGGGGGCCCACCATGCAGCGTCACCATGCCACCCGCAGAGGGCTGACGTCCCTTCTTTGGCATGTTTGGCATTGGAGCAGCAGGGGCCGTAGTATTTGTGGGAGTGGGAGTAGGGACAGCTGTTCGCGTGACTTTTGCCAAGTGAGGTTCAATTGGTTTGGGGGCCACGTTCGTTGCGGCCGACGACACCGCCCCTGCAGAGCGGCTGGACGAAACACTTCGCGGTACCTGGGGTTGTCGAGACATCTCTGGTGGTTTGGCGGCCGCGTCGGCTCTAATAACAATGACACCTTGTCCTTGTTGTTTCTGCTGTTGTTGAAGACTAGCTTCTCTCGCGGCTCGGTGCTGAGCGGCTATGCCAACAATATTCCCACTTTCATTCACTTTGTAAGGAGGCGTAGCTTTCTCCTGTCCCCCGCCGCGCGCCTCTTTCCGTTCCTTCTTTAGTGGAGGGGAGTCCACATCCATCACCTCCTGCATCTCCGCAGAAGTTCGTGGTTGAATCCTCTCCCCTTTCTTAAGTCTTGACAGACGAATTTCAGGTGGAAGCTCAAATGAAAAACTGCTGTTGACATCCTTACACCCGTGAACTCTAGCCGGCGTTGACCTTCGTCCGCCACCGCTTCCAGCCCGCCGTGTAAAGGGCATCTCTGGAAAGGATGCATCACGATGCTGCACCACCATGGTTCCCACATCTTCTGGAGAGGCAACATGGCTGTCGCCGATGCTGATGCGTCCACCAGAGGAGGCTCGTCCTGTTGAACT